AAAAAAAAATATATATTTTTTGAAGGGACAGGAGGAAAAATGAAACAATTTGGTAAAAATAAAACAATAAAATAAGATAATAGGCTGACGTTCAGTCAGCTGCTTGTTGCTGTGTGGTTTTGGTTACAATAAACTGGTTGTTGCTGTTTACAGGCTCTCTAATTGATCTAAATTAGTCTTGTTCAGTGTTCTGGAAGCACTGACGATAGCAATGGGATAAAAGGGTATTGAGAAAAGGGTATTGAGACATAGGTCATCATGATAACCAGGGCTCAGTTTAAGGAGGGATTCAAGAGGAGACAATCATCCTCTCTTCTAAATCTGCCGTTCCCCGTGTTCCATCCCCTTTGGGTTAATGCATTGATGTGATACCACTTAAGATGTCTATTGCACATTTTTAAATTCCATTCATATTTGAGATCTGCACGTCAAGTATTGGGAAACATTTTTGACCACTGATACGGAGTCTTCTTATTTAGGTAACCATTTGAAAAATAATCACATTAAATAGTTAAACCTAGGTAAAGTATTTTTTCTTCTTTGCTTTACCTTTTCGTCCAGTAATTTTGCGATGGTCACTTACACCGAAGCGGAAGTGATACTGTGTCAGTAGAGGCCTAAACTTTGTCAAATAAAAGAACGTAATAAAAGAACAGTTCAGTAAAAGATTTGGTTGTAGTAAACTATCATCAATTTGGTAACAAAACTGTAATTAATTTAGTAAGAAAAAACAGGATTGCGAAGTTCACACAAACTTTACAATCTGAGAGTTTGTGGCCACTTAGTCTGAAGGCTTTCTCCTGAGGCCTTTTAAAAGAACCCATTTTGCTGATAAATGAGAGCTGAGACATGTTTTACTCATATTGTGGCGTCTGTGTAAAAGAAGAAGCATAGCCACACCTCCTGCGAATCCGCAGCCAGTAGCGGGACGCTACAGTGTGTTTCTCGCAAGGCTGAAGTTGTTATGCTGTGGTGTGAGGATGTCCTAAAATGTACACCATAACATAGAGACGGCCTTTAGTACAGGCATGATACAAGAGCACACACCCCGAGTGTGATTAACCTGAGAAATACCTTTGACCTGTTGTTGGAACTGTTGGAATTAGTCGAGCCTATTTAGCAACAAAAGCAGTGCTGCCTCTGCCTTCTCATTCACATGTCCTTAAGGCACTCAAATTAGTGTGCCTGTGTTCCCAGGGACCTGTGTTCAGATCTTTGTCTGATACGTTATACCTTATAATGATACATTAAGGTAACTTCTAAAAGGGTTCCTAAGGTCTTGGTTAACATGGGGTCATCAAGGGTCATATGGGGAAGGAACAACAAAGAGAAAATTTTTAGTAGGCATGCACTTCAGCTAGGCTAGCCTCATTGAGCTAATAAGCTAGCTAAGCAAACTTCGGTGTTCAAGCAATTTTTAAGAAGTTTTTGTTGTTGCTAGCCCTTAGCTTGCTAACCAGCAAGGTAGCAGAATAAAGTAACAAACAGTGTTAAAATGTAAAGTAGATGTTGTTGTTGAGGATGTGCTTAAAGATTCCATTGATAGCATGAACGCCACCTTCAGTAGTGTTTTGCGGTGTTCAAGTAAAATTATGACAAAATTTATGACATTATGATGCCTTGAAATTTTGTTCGATCGGAGTGTATTTTAATAAGGGAAGCAGCTTGTACATAAAGGCAATTTCAGATTTTGTTTACTAAACATATATGTTTTAAAATTATACCAGAAATATAGATTTGACTCTTGTTTTTATGTTGTGGAAATACGATTGCGGTAATATAGAGGCATAGAGCTTTTTCCCCATGAAAATTTCTATTAGAGAACACGGGGCCCTGGGAATATAGGGCTGCTTCCAGAATTACAGAGGGAACAGGGGGCCTGGGGAGCACAGGGCCCTGGAAATATAGGGCTGTTTCGCAGTTTCAGTGAGCAAATGAAGGGCCCTGGGAACATAGGGGTGATCCCCTCACATTTTGGAGTGGCAACTCATAAATACAAAACGTTCACGTTTTATATACGTGTCAAAACCTAAAATTCACGCTTCACTGAATTGTTGGCATATAGATTTTCTCCGTCTTCCAGTGATGGAACGTAACACATACCCAAACTGTGATTTCAATCTTTAAATACGGGCTTCTCAAACGGTTAAGAGTACTGGAGAACCCGTGCACATCCCTAGTGGAGTCGTCTTGTAAGTGGGTTTAATTTAAGAAAGTAAATTCAGGGTGCAGAGGATGTGTTAACGAAATTCTCTCGTTCAGGCTGTTTGTGTGAAGGAGAGGAACTTTTCTCTTTTCCTTTTTTTAATGAAGAGACCTTGTGTGGGTGTGGGTGTTTGCATATGTGTGTTCCGTTCTTTAAGAAGGACACGGTGTGAGTTGAGGACAGAAGACGACTCATGCATGTTTTATTACGGCGGCCCCCGTCACCGCAGTGATGCCAGCTCGTGCCGGCGTCACTCACCAACCGGAACGGATCATTACTCGCGCGCGCACACACACACACACACACTCACTCTCTCTCTCTCTCTCTCTCTCTCTCTCTCTCTCTCTCTCTCTCTCTCTCTCTCTCTCACGCGTACAGGCTCGTCTCTGCTCCGCTGGGCGGCTGTGAGTGTGTTTCTAATTAGCACCTGAGAGAGAGGCGGAGTCATTAATATGCAGCGCAGAGGTGACAGTGGACCATCACACCGCTCTGCTGTTGCCATAACAACTACATGGATATGAAGCCAGGCTTCATATTTTAACATTTTTAATAGTCAGAAAGACAGCAGCAGTTTATTTCATTTAGAGAAGAGGATGCGCATGTACTTACTCCATTATAACGAATGGTGAAATTCCTCCTTATTCTGTGAAGTGAGGATTTCAGTGTTGGCTCACTTTCCTTCTCCTTCAGTAATGAAAGTATTGCACAGAGCCATCAGCCTGAGATATTGATTAGCTTTGCTGTTTATTTTTTCTGTTCAGGGTTTGATTATGAGATGGATGGAGAAGTAGACTGATCGATCATTCAGTTGTTTGCTACCCCCCCCCCACAAGAATGGCTGATGGAATGTGTTTTTGCTTTACAGCGTACATGTACATTATACACATGGCTATAACAATAAACAGTGCCTCATTCATACATTCATTTAAATGAAAGATTTGTCAGAGGAGTGCTCAAAGAAGGTTGCGCAGCTATTATTCTCATCTTCCGTTTCTGAGAAGAAAGACTTAAAGTGCTTTCCTGAGGGATGAAACTGGAAGAAAATAGTCACTCACTGGGAGGGAATCTGAAATGGTCCTGGTGGCGTGATTGAAGGTGTGACTTGTGCAGTGAGGTGAGGCTGAAGGAAAAAAAAATCACAGTATATGACTCTTCCAGCCTTTGGACATGAGCCTTTTCCTGTCGTCTGAGCTACCTGATGAAAAAGCCTTGGATTATGACCATGTAGAACAGATGACGTTGCTGCTTCTCGCCGACTTTGAGTTGCCTTAGTAAGTATATTCAGAATTTCTGTTGTATCTTCCCGACTATGCAGTGAATGATGCTCAGTGAAGTCATATTATGAAAAGATTTTATGATTCAGAAAATTCTGAAGGTTTGTCAGCCTTTTTTTGATCTTACCTGTTTTAGCTGACCTGTGCAGTAACTACTCAGAAATTAAGTGTCTGTGGGGGAAAAAAATCATTCATACTACGCTAAATTTGCTTAGATAAAGTAGAAACAGTGCGAGTTCACTCTATAACGGTTAGGTTTCATCGGCTTCAACTTTATCAGACTTGCCTAATTGCACAAAAATGCTGTGTCACTGTGAAGAGGAACTGATTTGTGATCTGGCATTAAAGACTAAAAATTCCCAGTGTTCATCACCCTCATAGAACCTGATGTAATGGAAAAAAGAGAAAGGGGTTTTCTTGGTCTGTTTGCTCCGAAATCAGTTTGGATTGAAAATAGTATGAGCTTATATGTCCAACGCTGAGATGTTTTTCTTTGTTTCTTTCTTTATTTCTTTCTTCTTTTCTTTCTTCCTTTGTCCCCACTCTCACTCCCTAGCTGAGGCTGTTGATAAATCTCGCATCCTGTGCTGAGTTGTGTTGGCTTGCTCTGTGGAATGCCTGAACTCGTGGACCTCTCCAGCAAACTCATAGACCTCTCTTCTGTTCTGGTTTGCTGTAAAGATGGGCTCTCCTTGATAGCCTTGATGGTTTTGTTAGAGACAGAGAAATGAAGGGAGGGGGGTCTTCCTGTGCCAGGCCAGTTTTCTGCTGTTTTGAATACCTTCTCATATAAATTTGGGAGAAGAGCTCTGAGGCAAAACTGTAACTGGGACTCAAGCTGAAATCATCTAGGGTTGTACATATTGTAATATGGAAATGGGGAGATGGTTAGGTTTTATGTCTTAATAGTTGAATAGGTGCTAATTGTGCTGTTTATAAATGTTTTAGTGAACACATTTAATTTGTCAAAATACAGTGAATGTGGGTTTACACTGACAGATGTTGTCTTTTGTAGGTAGGCAGGGCGGCCAATATGACAACATTTATCATAATGATAAATTATGTCCTATTACATCACAACATGCTTTTATAACCATTGTGGATATCATCAGTACAGAATACAGCTGCTTTAGAAATCATTAGAAATACAATAATTAGGCCTGTTTAACTGGATTGGACTGCAGTGCAGAGTAAGAAATGTTAAAAAAAAACAAAAAAAACACTATATGTAGTTTTTGATGGTATTTTTAAATGTGGCAGTACTGTTTTGTTTTTTTTTGTCTGTTCCCACCGATGAAATCTCAGAAAAACAAATATTGTGATAGATGTCACGTATCATGAAAATGTCTTGAAATGTCTGACAGGAAAGGGCAGTCTCACATTCGCTCACAAGAAGTCCGGTTGGTTTCATTAACTGTAGTGAGAGATTTTGATGCAAAATTGAATTGTGTATTTGGTTGCTTGTTAATGCTTGGTTAGTTTTCTAAGCTTATTTCTGTTCTCCTGTTGTTTGTGTACAGGTGGGTTGTGTAATGAGGTCCTATGAAGCCCTGCACTGGAGCTGATGTTCCCGGTCAGCGGGAGACTCCGGAGCCAAGGCTGGGAGACTCCGGAGCGGACTGAGGAACTGCAGAGTCCCGCTCCTGTGCCGGGAATCCACTCTGACCACTTCCATCCCTCTTTCCCTCCTTCACTTCGCAACACCTCCCAACCGCTTTGTCAGGCCTACCCCTGAACCCTGTCACTACGGTTACCATGTCCAGCCGAAGGAAGTCTTTCACTCCCTGCATGGTGTGTGTCAGCGATGTGCCAACAGACAGCCCTGTTGAAATGGATATCTTGGCTGATGAAGTAGTAGAGGACAGGTCTTCCTCTCTGCAGCCTTCATTAGATCTGCATCAAGTGTCAGCAAAGGAGGGCGAGGTTGACCATAAGGAGGAGAGTCATGTGGAAGGGATGGAAGGGAAGGTGGAGGAAGATAAATCCCTTGCCACACAGAAACAGCAAGGTAGGGACTACCAGTGTAAGTACTGCTCCTTCTCCACTCAGAATCTCAACGACTTCAAAGAGCATGTGTACTCTACACACCCTAACGTCATTCTGAACCCTCTGTATCTGTGTGCCGTCTGCAACTTCAGCACCAAGAAGTTTGACTCCCTAACAGAACACAATGGAACACTTCATCCAAGAGAGAGCAATTTCAAGTTCAAGCGAATTAAACTTGACAACCAGACTATCCTAGAGCAGACCATTGAGAATGAGGATGATTCAAACGCTCTAGAAACCAAGCACATGCATGATGATGACGGCTTTGACTTTTTCCCCACATACCCTTCAAGTGTACAAAATGTTGGAAAGCCAGTGGTGGACAATACAGAAATCTACAACAATGGTAATGAAGTAGAAAGTAATTTAGATAATCTGATGTTGAAGGATCAGATCACTGCGGTCAATGTGAATGGCACAATCATCATCCCTGAGCCCATGATCCTTCAGGGCCTCTCTCACGTCATGCCTCTGCTGCAGCGCCCACCCAACCTTAACTCCATTCCAACAATCGCCGTTCCTCTGAACACAAGCAAGTACAATCCTTTGTTGGACAGCAACACTACACTCATCACTTCCTTCAACAAATTCCCCTACCCAACTCATGCTGAGCTCTCATGGCTCACTGCTGCATCCAAGCACCCGGAAGAGCAAATCAAGGTATGGTTCACTACCCAGCGACTGAAGCAGGGAATCACCTGGTCACCAGAAGAGGTGGAGGAAGCTCGAAAGAAAATGTTCAATGGCTGTATGCCACCTGCTGACCAGACGTTCACCATTTTGCCTACGCCTGTGAGCGAGCCAATCGCCACCAGTCAGTCTGTTGCACCAGCAGTCTCCTGCCACGTTATTGGACAGTCCACCTTGTCCACGGTGACCACTGCAATTGGGTCACCTGCTACGTGTGCAACTGTCACTGTGACAACCGTTAATAGTATGCAGAATCTCAAGCGCTCTTTGGGAAATCCAACAGTGGCCCAGGAGGTAAAGCGTCCCATGATTCCTACAGAGGAACCCAAAGATAAGCTACGCATGGCACCCCCTCCTGTCCCTCCCCTAGAAAGACTACCCATGGCTCCTCCTCCTGTACCCCCAGATAGTAAGAGATCCATGCCCCCACCTTTGATTGCCCCAGACCTGAAGAGATCCATTATCGCCCCTTACGCTATGCCTAAGGGGAAATTGCCAGTGGTATTTCCACTTATACCTCCCAAAGACAAGGTACCTATGGCGCCCCCTCCCCTGTTACCCAGAGACAGATTATCTATGGTGTCCCTACTGTCCACAGATCTAAAGAGGTCTATGGTTCCCCAACAATTAAGGAATCAAGCGCCTGCCTCTTCAGTGATTTCTAAAGACAAACTATCACCTTTACCTACTGATGTAAACTTACCCATGGTGCCCCCCCTGGTGACTTCTCAAATGAAGAGACCAACAATCATTCAAACTGCACGGGCTCCACCTGTAGCCCCTCCCCTGGTCCCTGCTTTCTCTCTGGAGTGTAAACCACTAGAGCCGACAGCGGAGCAGAAGCTCATAGGCTCAGAGAGTCGACCCTCAGAGAGTCAGAACAGCAATGGAGTCCCCTGTGGGGACGGTAAGAATTGGTTTCTTGACCAGAGTGCACCGGCCCACAATGGTTCACAGCACTTAAATAGTGACTTTGCTCCAAAGGAGCGTCCAAAAACAGTCCCAACCCAGTTCCCTCTCCTGGAAAGAGTGAAGGGGAAAACTGCTGAGCAGCTGAAGGTTTTAGAGGAAAGTTTTCAGAGAAATAGTTTCCCATCATACAACGAGGTTGATCACATCGCAATCACCACCAGACTCTCCAGAGAGGAGATTGACAGCTGGTTCTTGGAACGACGAGCACTTCGAGACAACTTAGAAAAAGCCCTGTTGAATTCAATGGGCTCCAAGAGAACTGACATCGCAGAGAGGAGGTCGCGTTCACACCACCAACATGCTTTGCTTAACGGAGTTCACAAACAAGGTGGCCTACCCATGAGCCCTCTCCCTCCCATCATTGCCCCCACCCCATCCTCTGGACCTCTGGATAGGAAGTCCCTAAACCTCCTCAAAGATGTCTTTGTCCAAACACGGTGGCCTTCGCCTGAGGAATATAGTCGTCTGGAGGCACAGACAGGCTTGCCTCGTACAGACATTGTCCGATGGTTCAAAGACAGCCGGCTGGCCCTGCGCGGTGGTGCTGTGGAGTGGAAGGAGCTGTTCCATAAGCTCAGCGGCAGCGAGTTGAATGGCCGGCTGATCTCCGAGCAGCCCTGCAGTGTCACTCAACCAGGCCAGGACCGTAAGGTGCCTAGAGCGGAGTGCACCAAACTAAGCAGCCAAGAGATCAAAGACTGGTTCAGCAACACACTGGGCCAGCGTGGGCCTGAAATGGGGAGGAATGGAGGTCAGAATGGGGGTGGCGGAGAGGAGTGCGGGGGCTGGATGGAGGAAGCAGTAGGGGTGAAAGCTAGGATGGCGTCACGAGAGCTGGTCTCAGACACAGATTAGGCGAGAGGAGGGAGAAGAGGCAGGAAAAGAGGGTAAGTTTGATCACAAAGTGTATATACATAATTGTATGCCTTTCCAGTCTGGTGATTATAGACTGAGGGGACACAATAGACCACTCCTCATCAAAGGACATATTTGGCTGTTGCCATGGAAATTTGGAATAGAGGACTGGAACCCAGGTTGGACTCTTTTGATGTTGTTCCGTTAAGAAAAACAAAGCTGTGCAGCAGGGAGTTGAGACATACTGGGATGTTGCCATGCAAATAATACAGACTTGATGGCTAACAACGTAGTTCATTCTAGAAGACAGGAGAGCTATCAAAGTAGAGAAATATTGGTTCATTTCTTGAAAACTTTGATAATAGAGGAGGGAATGTAGCAGTTGAGCATGCATTAGCAAATAGTCTTTAAACGTACACTTATCTCATAGGTAGACTAATTAATAATTTTGCATTTGGCTTGTAGGTTGCATATTGATGTCTCTCTGCTGGCAGACTGGCATGTCCCAATGTTGCCTCACTGAATTAAAATAGAAAAGCTATGAGCCCACACTTTGTATACCATACCTTCCACCATTATGTCATCATTTTGTTTGTAGATTTTTAACAAAATTTTTACCATCTTTAGATGCTCATTCTCTAGATGATTTTATTGTAAACTACATTTTATTTCATCTTAATAATGCAAAATAGCTTATTTGGATACTAATTAAATATCTTAAAGTAATTAAAAGTTAGAAACGCACCACAGGTGCCTTTTAAAATACAGCAGAGAAGGTTTAGTTAGGTGTCAAAAATAGTTGTATTATTGTTATTGTAGTTTCAGCCCAATGGCTCATTTTTAGCTAATTAAGTAGATAAATATAGACAAAGGAGTAGAGCTAAGATGTCAAACTCAGCGGGATTGTTTTGGCAGTGTAATTTCACATCCTTTTGATGATCCAATTATTTGTTAATGTGGCAGAGTAACTAAAGTCCACAAAGCAGCTTGAGTTCAGTCGTACCGGTGCAGGGAATATTGAAGCAAGCGTGAGGTTCCCTTTGGGGTTCATCAGTGGGCTGGGGTAGTGAGTGACTCAGGCTGTCAGAGTGGTAATGATGGCTTTGTTCCCGTTCCCGACAGGTAGGAGCTGCTGCCGCTGTCATTTTGCACAGAAGTGGAAGAAAAGAAAAGGAACAGAGGCTTACTTTGAAATGTTGTATTTTTGGAACCAATGATTTCACTCTTGCCCTCTTCTATTGTGCCAGCCAGCACACGCCGCCAGTCAGAAGCGGAAGGGGCCTCATCGCTGCACGGAGCACCGGGTGGCAGGAGCGCCGTTGAAACGTTGCTGAAATGTTGTGGGAGCGTTTGTGGCGCATTGTGCGACGGTTCGGCATCAGGGAGGGACAGAGTGAATGCACTGAGGAGACGGAGACCGTTGAGTGCCAAAGCTGGATTTGCTGCATAACTACAAGGGTTCTTGTAAATATTTTTTTCTGTACTGCTACAGATTTGTACAATTTTGGGGGAACTTTTGTTACATTTTGTAATGGGAGCAAGTGGCCCCCAGTTTTTGCTCTGGCTGGTCTTTTCAGTGGACACATCGTACATTTTGTAACAACACCATGCACCACTACAGGCGTTGGCAATACATCAGACAGTTTTACAGAGCCGGACTTTCAATACAGTTGTCTTTGGAGGGACTTCTTTAAATCAGTGTATTTGTTGACTGGTTTAAGGTGCTGTTATACTTTCTGGATATTACTCGCCGTTGCTTTTGCTATAATTACAGTTCTTACAGCGTGACATTTTGAAAACAAAACAGAAGTTTCAGAAAAAAAGGAAAATCACTTTGCTGTTAAACTCACTGATGGACAAAAACAAATCACACTCTCTCAATCCTATCCGATATGTCTACACACACGACAGTTTAACCTATAACTCTTCTGTTGCAAATCTGTTCTGTCCTGCTTAGGAAAACACACAGCAGTTGCCAGCCTTGATATGTGTTGGCTTTGTAAACGTAGTGCTAGTTCAACTCCGACCGTAGAGAAAAATTAACCTGTTACCAGATACACGCTCCGTATGTACTGCTTCTGTAGTGTCAGCGTCACATATATTAGAAATACTGTACTTATGCCAAGGTCCTGCTTACTACTCTCCAAAAGACAGATGTTGTCTGCTGTAATCAAATAAAACACAGCCTACTCAATGATGCAGATTTGTGGAAAGTTTTACTTCTTAAAATTATGAAATAATACTGCTTACCAACATACATATTGGCTGGCCGATGAAAACGGCTGATGATAAAAGGGAATTCCATCAATATTTCAAATTTTCTGATGTAAGCAAAGGCATTCAGAGTGGTTTCATGTGAAATGGTTCAGTGTAGACTTAATGGCTCAGATTTCACAGTGGTGGTGGTACAACACAGAGCCATTTAACATCCAGTCAAGGTGGAGAGGTACATGTAGAGCGCTGCAAGGATAAATAGTCCCCAAATAATCCTTAGTATATATATACTATATATATACCTTTTACCCTGTTCTTCAGTGGTCAGGACCCCCATGGACCCTCACAGAGGAGGTACTATTTGGGTGGCGGATCACAGCAGTGCTGCTGGAGGTTTTAAACACCTCAGTGTCACTGCTGGACTGAGAAAAGTCCACCAACCAAAAATATTCAGCCAAGAGTGTCCTGTGGGCAGCGTCCTGTCACCAGTGATGAAGGACTAGAGGATGACCAACACAAACTGTGCAGCAGCAGATGAGCTATCGTCTCTGACTTTACATCTACAAGGTGGATCAACAAGGTAGGAGTGTCTAATAGAGTGGACAGTGAGTGGAGACAATGTTGGAAACTCCAGCAGCACTGCTGTGTCTGATCCACTCAGACCAGCGCAACACACACTAACACACCACCACCATGTCAGTGTTACTGCAGTGCTGAGAATGATCCACCACCCAAATAGTACCTGCTCTGTGGGGGTCCATGGGGGTCCTGACCACTGAAGAACAGGGTAAAAGGGGGCTAACAAAGTATGCAGAGAAACAGATGAACTACAGTCTGTAATTGTAGAACTACAAAGTGCACCTGTATAGTAAGTGGAGCTGATAAAATGGACAACGAGTGTAGAAACAGGGTTATGCCTGATCGGTCTGTGTATGTATATATATATATATATATATATATATATATATATATATATATATATATATATATATATAAAAAACCATCATCATCATATACAAAAAATTCAGAAGACACATTAAGGTTCACTGGTGGTTTGGGGTAGTAAATTGATTAACCAATGTAAGTGAAAATCCCACTAATACCTTTCAATATAAGCAGAATCACTGATTTCTGAGCCAGCCTGCTTTCTGCTAGCCAGAGACTGCAAAGCTATCAGTCAGTTGCTTAATTTCATAGCAGCAATACTGGCTGAACTGGTACACAAAACACCACCTTCTGCTGTTTATTTGAGTTTGAGAAATGTGACAGTTGACATATGACAACCAGATTTGACAATGCACCCTTCACAGTTGGCGGTGTAATTTTTCATATCAGTCAGGCTCTGCTGCTTACATTGACTACATGCTATAATACTGCTGTTTCACTTTGTTCAGCGTTCTGTTTTGCGTCCTCCAGACTCTGGGTTTCCTTGAAATGTTGGACGGAGGGCAATTTAAAATGAAGCTAGCACACAGAATGCTCTACATTTATTGTATTCTAAGTAATAGTTTCCTTGCTCTGGCTTGCTGCTAGTCACATGGATGGCTGTGTGGATTGTTACAAACGAGCACTAGGACACAACTTGCAGTGTTGCCTGTGGCAGTGGATAAGAAAGGGATTTTCCTGGGTCATGGACCCGTCAGAGCCTTCCCTTTTCATTAGCATAGCATTCTGTATGCGCTGCAGTGTAGCAGTTTTAACCAGTGTTGATATATTCGTGTGTCAGGTTCATTCAGGAGTTTGTCTCGGTGAGTGCACACATGTATGATGTAACAAAGCAGGCAAATATGTAAGATTATTAATAAGTATTAAAGAGAAAAGTAGACATTAAAGGGGAATTGCGTCAATATTCAGAAGTTCTTCATTATTCAATTGTTGAGAGTCAGTAGATGTGAAATAGTAAATTCTAGAGAAACTTGCTGACTCTGATTTTTATACAGTGGTGCCGATAGGAACTAGGGGTCACAATGTCTATACAAATATAGCCATTTTATTTACTATACAGAAACACCAGTGAACCCTCTGAGTTTTATATGTAAAGTTGATGGTAAAATAGTGGTAAACCTTAAAAAAATTGTTTTCTTTGGGGACTATTTTGCCTCACAACACCCTGCCTTAACCTCTGTTTCGGGCCAAAACCTTAGAACTATTGTGAAATAATGTTTCCAGCATCATGCAGCATATTCATTATTACATTTCATGTAATAACTTTCTGTGAGAGAGCTTTTACAGCCTTTAAACTCTTCAGACATCTGATTCCTGATCTGACTTAAGTTTTTCTCAGCATTTCACATCAAACCATGGGAAAAATGAAATGAAATAGAAATAAAAAAGAGCCTAAATTGATAAAAATGTAAATAATGTACATAGGCACAGGGTCTGTGGATACTTTTAATCCAGCATTATCCACAATTTATTACAGTGTGGTCTGATCATTAGTGCAGTCATGTACTATATTACAAAGTGGGTCACATTAAGGGGGGCTGGAATGTATAATCTAAAGTGCAGGGTGTCCACTAAAGTTAATGAGGGCCACAGCTCTGGGGAAAAACCTGTTAACGTGTAGTTATGCTTGCTTTAGTAGCCCTGAATCTTCTACATGAATGTTTTCGGGCCCAGAACCATTCTGTGCTTTCGTCAGTGAGAGAGCAGATGTTGGAGTCATGAAAAAACTTATTACAGTTGTGATTTTGACAGGTTTTTTTCCCCCTTCATGCCTGCTGGGTGTTTCGCGGTTCCAGCAGCTATCAAAAAAAAGAAAAATTAAAAAGAAATAAAACTTGCAAAGGCTTGGATGCCTGACACACATTAAGCCTGGCTCAGAACTAAAATTGATTTTGAATGGGGGGGAATTCTTATGAATGGCGACTTCAGTGCCCGGCCGGGCTTAATCTGTGTCTGGAATACTTAAGAGTTATGGAGAGGTGATTAGGGCAAAGCGATGTAAAATACAGAAAGCAAACAGTGATGGGTGGAACGCTGAGAGGGGATTTACAGTGTGGTACAGAGAGTTACAGTGCAGCTGGTGCCGGAGTTACATCTTATGCAATGTCCATTACATAATGTTTTATGGAATAGCCAGTCCCTGTTTCCAAAGGATTTTACTCTCGCTATGCAGGGGAGGGCTTTTTGGTAAGCACCCCACACAGTCTTCTTTAGTAGAATGATCAGAGAACTCAATGAAACAATAGCTTAGTGTCCTCCATCTGCTCTGGGCTGCATGATGACGGTATGAGAGAAAGAAGGAAAGAAAGAACGAGTGTACTTGATTCCTGCCTCCTCACAAACCTGTCAGATGAATCTGCTGATGACTTCATTCAGTACACCACAAACAGATAGGCCTCTATCTCGTCTACATACAGGTGATATTTATGACGTCATTAGGTCTTCATCGGTTCTTCAAGTGTGAATGATTTGTGAGCTGTATCAGTCTGGGCCATCGCATTGGAAGGTACTCTTGGCTCAACTGAGACAAATCTGTTTCCCCTCTTTGCTGAAGGGTTGATTCTGTACAGAGATCTAGCTCTGAAATCACAAGGATTTGCCAGTTTTGTCCATGTCTGAGCTCTGAAAAATGGCCTGTGGTTGCCTTGCGTTCTGGTCTGGAACAGAAGAGCGCTCCTAGACTTGAGTACTATTCGTATGGGATTCGTTTTCCATGGTGAGGTGGGGTAAAGTAATTACTAGCAGTGTTTCTTGGTGATTTTTGTCTTGTCTGAATCTACCATATCTATAATTTTTGCAGCCTGTGAGCCCCTGCATCAATACAGGTTCTGGTGGCTCTTACATACTGTAAACAAACTATAGGAATAGCCCCAGGTTATATTAATCCCATATGAATTGCCCTGTCTGTAAATCTTCCATCATATCCTGTGGAAAATAATGTGGGTTTTCTTAAAGCCTCAGGGAATCTAAATCTGTGTTTTCTTTCTAAGTAGGTTAATCTTGATCTTGTGGGCGCACAGTATACATATACCAAGTATGTCCTGTGAGTAACTTTCCAGTGCCCAATCAGTGGTTGATGTATTTTGGCAACATTCTCCTTTTCAAAGTACAACCCAAGTTTCCAAAAAGGTTGGGACACTGTGCAGAATGTAAATAAAAACAGAATGCAATGATGTGCAAATCTTTTAAACAGTACAAAGACAACATATCAAACGTTGAAACTGAGAAATTTTATTGTTTTTACAAAAATATTTGCCCATTTTGAATTTGATGCCAGTGAAACATTTCAAAAAGGTTGGCATGGGGCAACAAAAGACTGGGAAAGTTGTGTAATGCTAAAAAAAAAAACAAAAAAACTGGTGGTTAATTGACAACAGGTCAGTAACATGGGGGAAAAAGGAGCATCCCAGAGAGGGTCTTTCAGAAGTAAAGATGATGCGGGGTTTCACCACTTTGTAAAAGACTGTGCAGTCAAATAGTGCAACAATTCCGATGAATCAAAATTGAAATTTCTGTTTCGAAATCAAGGACACATTTTCCAAGCTAAAGACCATCCTGCTTGTTAACAGCACACATTTCAAAAGCCGGCACTGACTGTCGGCTACTGACACATTGCTTTTGCTTAAGACAGAATTAGGTGAACAAAATTGTCATTG